CTGTTGAGTTGAATAACAGCCAGGCCAATTCCCATTCGTCGGATCCGCAGACACTAAATTATGGGCACTCACCAAGTCGACGTTACCTTCACATAAAGCGGGCTTAGTTTCGATCAAAAAGGTACTTTTTGAAACCCCATGCTTGGTACTTTGTCAGCTTCCAGACAGTTCGACTTTACAAAAGAAGCATGAAGACAACTTGCACAATTCCTCCCTTGGGGTCTCCCCGGTGACCTCACAACACCCTAAACCCTTCCACTATCTGCAGTCTCAGTTTACAACCGCGATTCGTCCTGTCTTCGGTTTCACATCTGTGCCTTTACTTGTTCTACCTAGTCTAGACCGCCTCATTTCAAAAGAATTTTGCAACCACGGTCAGTTTTGGTTTACTGTGCACAAAGTGGCGTGGTAGTGGGTAGACACAACATTTTGGACAAAAAATACCCTGGCAATGGCGGACAGGAGAGCTTTTTTTCTTCCATGCACCCCACGCAGTTCGACTTCCTGTTGATTTGCTATCTACAAGTTACGCTGTCTTGCCGTCTGTCCCCAGCGGATGTGATGAATAAACCCGCTCGTAGGGTAAATCCTTTTCGTTTTACGAACGCGACGTAAGGTGAAGTCGTGTCTATTTTCTTAATTCGCTCGGAGATGTTTTTTAACTGCGTTGGTAGATTTGCCAATTAATCATAATGAAGTTAACACCGCCTCCGACAGTAAACACAGCTTGTTTGTCCCGCATTTTTGCTGTTTTCGTTTGCAAAATAACACACTTTTAAAAGATTAAATGTGTTTTGTAACTGTAAAAACATGTTTTACAAGTAGCAAGCTTTCAAAGTAGCGTAATAATCTCGTGACCCACGAAGACCTGCTAGGTGGGGGTAAACAAGTTCGAAATGGCGCGCAGCAGGCGAACCTCATAATTTAAACAACAACAAATAAATAAACGCGCAAGGTACGAAGCACCGGGCAGCGAAAAATGTTGTGCTTAAGGTAGTTGTAAACAGCGCGACATGTGACGACTTTCTCGAGCCGAAGTGTGATTCTACTTGTCGATGACGGTGTTTATGTTCATAAAACCCTTTCATTGAATGACAATTCGTCAGGTCGAAAGTAAAATTAATCACTTTTGGGAAACTAACTACACCACGTGACTGAAATAGTCAAAAATTATTTTCTCTGATTGCCATCGTGGCATTGTCGTCTTTCAATAGCTGGGAAGTTTGATTTTGAATTGAGGTACTACGCTTTTAAGGGCTTAATCCAAGGAAAATGGACCAATCACGGTAACGTCCTGCTCTGTTTTGATTAGTTGCTAATCAGGTCTGAGTCCCACCTGACACGACAAGATAAGTTATTGCCTGGGTTTAAATTTCTAGCACTGGTAATGCAAAATTAAGGTATTTGTTTGGTTGAGGTGGGGATTGAGCGTTCTGATGTGAAACCCGTGAAATGAGGATAAGCAAAGTCCTCAGAATCCCCGACCTTGACGGTTGTTTTAGTTATCTGGCAGGCCTCGCGCCAAACTGAATAGGATGTCACATAAATCAATACAATAAACTAGAGTTTACCTGTTTTAATAACCGTATTTGCTATCAATATTTTATCATTCATAAAAACAACTGTCAGATGCGTGAGCACGAAAGTAAATTTTTGGTTGCATAACAAAAATGCAACGCTTATTTTTGTTGAGAAAAATAATGTATTAAAACAAATTGGACACTTTCCACTTCGTCCAATGACCTTCTGCCATCGTCGTGGCAATTTCATGCGTCCACGTACATGGAAGTCTTCTGGCACGTCAAACGATGGTCCGGAACATTTGTAGTCACCATCAACCTCAGTACTTCGACCAGAGCGACAAATAGCAAATTTTAGAAAATAATTTCCAAGGAGGATCAGAAAAACCAATAGGAGTGTATGATGGTTGCATTTAAACCGATGAAAGACGCCGTTGTTGACGCTAAGATGAACTCTTGAAGTTTCATTGGTTGGATTAAGTTGGTTCCACTCAGTTCATGTCGAAACAAGGTCTTCTGAATGTATCTGAATGCGTTGACAAACATCTCTGTGTTAAAAAATTTTACTGACGCGTTACAAAGACGTCATCACGCGTCGGATGTTTTTATTGGTCAAAATTCAAGGTCGGCTGTCGGGGGATCAAAACACAGGTGATAGACGCACTCGTACCTAACAACTCGGCCGTAAATAAGAGATGTGGGCTATACCAGTGGAAAGGGCATGCGTAAAAATGGGAACCCATAATTTTTCCTGGCAAGAGACCAAACTATTGACATTTCAAATTTTGTGGGAGAATTTGGCGCGAACGGAGTGGTGAACCAATGAGAATTTATGATGTAGGCGTCTTGATATCAGTGCGCAATAAAATGCTAACTAATTTCGAGTGACCTTGCGATAAAATCGACCAAATCGACGTCAGACTGGACTAGGTGCAATGATCACCTTTCAAATAGTTATCGACACCCGTGGCCTTGACTGTTGTTTTAAGTAACTGGCTGGGGTTTCAGTTAAGTCAATACAGCGACTTTGGATTTACTTGCTCGATTGCTCGCCTTCTTACTTTTTTAAAGTGCCTAAAACTACAATCTAACGATTCCAGATGCTGCGATGCGATTTCCGTCACTGTCCAATCAAATTCCTCGTTCGTTTTGTCGTGATAGCTCTATGTGAAATTTCTGTCTTGCTATTGGCTACTTTGATTCACCCTCACTTGCATCGAAAACGCGAGAAGCAGAAATCGATCGAGTTCGTTGAATTCACAACAGGCTGTAAGCGAGGCAGACGGAAAGCAATTCCTGAGGAAATATTTGATATGAAATTGGTTACCTCGCGTTTTCCCGGATATCAAAGACGCGCTCTGGGGGACAGCTGATTAATCCAAGTGCTGGTACAGAACTCTAGCAACCTGCCAACATCTCTACCAGCCGATCGAGAAGTTGTTCCATTTCCCTATCATCCTTCTCACCTGCCTCGCCAACTCGTTGCCCTGGCAACCGTTGAGCTGACTTCTGGAAATGCGAGGTTCGTGAGCGTCAAATTTTCGTGAGGCGTAAAGCAAATATGCCAGTCATCGAGAGTGCAATTTACCAGCAGCAGGCATGGCGAGCCAAATTTTGAGCCATTGGGAAAGACCGAAACTCGTTTTGAAAGCCTTTGGCGGCAAGAAAATTCAGAATATGAACGTCGTTGGGATGGCGATGCTATCGTGAATGGACACTGGGGTTGTTTGACGTCTCCCTACTCGACTTGAGAGTTGCATTAGCGGCAACCCTTAGAAGCTGAGCGGTAGCCGATGCAATCGTGCAGCCATTTGTCGCGGCAACTCCAGCCACTTTCGCTCGTCGTATCGATCGATTGAGGCGCCGGAAAAGTCAGGCTTTAATGAGTCATGCTCAGGCATCGGATTATTGATTATTGAACAAACTGTGAGATGGATTTGGCCAAATACCAGTTAGGTCTACGAGTGAATACATAGTTGTACCGGGATGGATTAATTACCCCAAAATCCGCAGCGCGTCGAAGATCGATCAGGGGCAATCTGCATGGGGGGTTAGCTTCACAAAGTGACAACGTTTAATGAAATTAATCTCAATCTTGAATAGATGCTTTCTTAATGCCTACTGATCCACGGTGCTGTGCGAAGTTTGTAGTGTAGTGTCACCTCACAACCCAGTTAGTTAGCTAGGGACAATGAAGAAGCGTCATTAATCGAATTTACGTGTAATCGGCTCTTGGCCAATGAGAATGCCGTTCGTGAGTCGAGTTGTCATCGATCGCCAAACGCGAGCCGATCTGATTGGACGTTCGACGTGTTCCAATCAAAATTGGCTTGCACACGAGAAGGCACCCAGTTAGCAGAAACCAATTTTTCGTAAAAAAAAGTAGTTCGAGCAATAGAAAATTGTGACCAATTGTTTTACTAAACTGTCAAAGCGCGCCCAATTAAGCAATTCGGCCAGCCAATCAGCGACACTAAATCACAACAAAAATCGAGGTGACCGCCCAGCACATTTAACCATTAAAACAAGGAAGGGACAAACAACGATCGAGTCAGTGGTAGAGTATGGAACGAGAAGCGCAACTTTATCGCCCCAAATTGTGAAAATTCAGATAATTTATCAAGGACCCGTGATTCTCCTTCTGTCGGCACGACATTTGCGCAAAAGAGTACCTGTGGAGTAGCATTAATCCACGAGTTCAAAAAAATGCGGATTAACTGACACATGCGTAAAAACAGCAATTGGGTAAGTTGATTTATGCAGAAAGAAGAATTTTACCAGTTCCCTGGACATTTGTTTTAAGTAGAATGCATCACAGCTGCAAAACACAGAATGCAAAGTGCAAGAGCATGAGTGATCGAGCGATGTAGCCTAGTTTTATTCAAAAAAAAAACTTTTTGAATGACCTCGACTGCAGCAACATCATTAAAACAACATCGTCAGTTTTCGATTGGCTGATGTTATTGTTGACAATGCAAACGGCGATGATTGCATTGCGTCCTTGCGTGTGATTACTCCCGCAACAATAGCTCCTGTCTAGTTTACTCGCTGTCATGGCAACCAAACGCGACACAGGTACAGAATCGACGCTATCCTTTTCTTCGGGTAAGTTCGTTCGTACGTGTGAGGTAGTGAGTCAGATTGTTTACGTTCATATACAAGCTTGTGTCCTTATTGGTCAGGTGATCACGACGTTCGTGGAATTGCCAATGTTGGACACGATAGCGCTTCGAGACATCCGAACTGGTCACAGCATAATGAGGCTTCGCAACTAAGTCGAACGACGACGACGACGACGACCACCACCACCACCACTACCTTCGTCCACTTGTACAAAAAGCTTCTTTAAGAGGTCATTCTTTCCACTAAAATCACCTCTGAAAACTTCCCGTCCTCCTTTATAGGGGAAACAACTCAGCCCAGCAAGTAAACAGACACCAGACTTGCGGCCTGCCCTGATTGGTCGGCCGTGTTTACAGAATGCGCGCGGCATTGGAGTTTACCGAGGCGAAAGCCAAAGTAAACAGCCTGCCAGGTCCAGCTACTGTTGGTCGTCGGAGGTACACACGCCCGTCGTTGCCTGCCAACCGCGCCACTTTGCCAGACACCCTGACGCTCAACGGTTGGGTACGTTCTAGTTCCTTCCTGTATAGCACATCTGACAATTTGATAATTCATCTTCAGCACATCTGTTATTTTAAATAAATAGACGCTTCCATAACTCCTGGTATTAATATCCCAGCATATCGGAGTTCTCTAAACCAATGGTCGTTAAAAGACGCCAGTGTAATTTTATGCAGACGATCAATTGCTATCTAACGAATCACGTTTGGGTAAAATACGTCTATATTTAAAGGCGCAATTTCAGAATTATCGATTTTTTCCCAATTACCAATAAGAAAGAAGCTAATTGTCAGTTTGTATGCTTGTAATTTGAATCGTCAGCTCGCGTTTTACTTGTTCTGGTCTATAATACATTTATAACCAGGTCTTCATTAAAACTGAAAGTTGTGAATTTTGCGCCAAATAATCAATCTTGTGAGTTTTTAAATCCTTTTTTTTCAAAACCATGGTTTTATTCATTTGCACTTGATTTGCCAGGATTTATTAAAATATAAATAGATATTTTGCTTACTTGGATCAAAAATCACGGGCTGTGACGTAATCGCCACTCAGATTTCCACATGACGTCATAAACACGAAACTAAAAATTGACATTTCCACTTCGATTATCAGAAACGTTGTGAGCATTCGAATGACAGTTAATTTCTGTAAAAAAAGTAAAGGCTTTTTTCTTAAAACTTGTCGGTACAGCTGAGGGGGTGCGATGTGGGCTTCGACAGAGAGTTCTAATCGATTCTGGGGTTGTATTTGACACGTGTAACCTCTTGCTGCTCATAGCAACGCACTAGCTAAGACGCGAACTCCACTCAACTTTCCGTATGACGTCACAACAGCACATGAAAAATCGATTTGCCATCGGGTGATTTTTATCGATTTTTTCGTGGGTTGTAGCCTCAATTTCCGCGAATGTAGCTTTGGGGAAGGCAAGTACTTGTCCAGTCGCAGTTGCCACGAGAGCCTGATTTGGTGTTACCAGAATGATTCCACGGATTTCCACTTAACTTTGCAAAATCAAACGTAATTGGTCGGCAGATTAATTAGTACAAATTATTCCTTACTTAACGTACAAATGCACATGCGGCTGAGTACGTCTCCAACTTCCAATCAACACTCTTCCCTAGGCGAACCCAATTGGTGTGTTTGAAAGGAGTTCAAGGTCACCTTGATTTTAATCAAACACTTGTTTACCAAAAGTTGTGATTTAATTGGGGATAAATTTTTGAAATTTTGATTGGCTTCAAGTTCCTGGTGAATCAAAAATCTATTCCGACCTCTAGAAAAGGGGAGTTTTGGCTCATGGTTGAGTGCAAAAAACGAGTAGAATTAATCATAACTCTGTAGACACCGGTTCAAATTTCGTGTACACGAAAACTCCTGACAACTTTGATTTGGGAGAAAAAAGTAAAATCAGCGTCTTCTTTAAACGACACAGCCCGCAACAATGGCGTGTGTCTCTAGTTTACTCGTTGTCATAGTAACCGAACGCGACAAAGGTACAGAATCGACGATATCCTTTTCCTCGAGTACATTCGTAAGTGTGAGGTGACGAGTCCGATCGTTGACATTCACACCCAAGCTGGTGTCCTGATTGGTCCTGAAGGTCACTGCTCGTGGAAGCTCCAACATCTGGCTCGACTGCACGTCAAAGCGTCCGATTTGTCGAAGCACGAACTCAACGCAGCATCCGAGCTTTCACTGGATCGCTGGAACAGAAAAGTCTTGCTGTACAACGATAAATCAACACCTCCACAGATGATCGATAGGAGGGCCAGTGTGCCCTCCTACCGTCCACAACGTACTCCCAACTTTACACCAGTAGATTTTAATCTTTTCGTGGAATCAGAGGCCTGCACGACACATTCTGGTGACGAAGAAGCTTTCCCTACGTCGACTTTGTGGAAATCGACGACGACTAGGTAGCCCTGGCGGAGTGTAGGCAATGAGCAAGAAGCCATCGATTTTTTTTTAAAAGGGAACCCCAGACATTGCATATTTCAATGGTTTACGTGTGCGACTTGCTGAGGCGTTCAAGTCTTTACCAAGAAGTCAGCAACTGAGACATAAATAAAAAAAGGATTTCAAGAAAGATATCATGGGACTGATGGAATACCCTCCAAAACCTTACTTCATTTTGATTGGACGTAGACAGTCGTATTTATATGACAAGTACGGATGAGATTTAAGGCAACCGAGCTACGGACTTACCTAATAGGTCCCTTGAAACTCCAATGAAGCCGTCGGCTGCTTGTGACATTTCAGTCTGACAACCCTTTTGAATGGAGTAAGGTGATGTCACAATGACTATCTGGTCAATTCAATAATTTTATTTACAAAAACAGGCTTTAAATCCCTATTAATGCAAGCGTCAAATTGATTCACTCGGACGACCAATCTAAACGCAGTGAAAAAGGTAGCAGGTGTGTAAAAAATCCACAATAATTCAACTTGTTTCTGTAACAGTAGCAACTTTTTGTTATAAATTCGGTTTTATTAGAGCGGAACGTTCAAAACGCGCGCGCACGCGCACGATCGATAAACCAGCTTATTCAATAATTTGTTTGAAACTTGGAAACACTTCGACTGGAGACTGCAAACCAATTCCGTTCACGTCCTGGCATTTGAAAAGCACAGGCAAAAATGACGATCTTTTAGCATGAAATCTAAAAGCAGCGATTGGTGAAAAGCCACATTCTTCAGCCAATAGCCCTCGGGGTCTGCGTTATCAATAGTAGGAGGGATTCGATACAATAAAATTCAGTTGACAGAAGAACCACAAAACTATCCGCATGGTTTGGTTTGGTTAATTAAAGCAAATTCAATCATTTTTTGTGCATGACACAGATTTAGCAAACTTTAATTTGCAGTTCTAACAAAGGTCCATTCACCAGAATTTGGAAGTCTCAGAATTAGGCATTCAATAAATCGATTAATGCCACAACATGACTGCAGTGTCTTATTACTCAAGTACAATTGAATATTCGCCACGCGAAGCATACGTCCTGTTCAGCTCGCTATTGATTAGCCAATCACCTGCTCCCAACGCGACTCTCGATTGTTCATTGGTTGGCAATAATTGGGCAGTTTATTGGCTGCCTCATTGGCATTTCATAAGGCATTTTATTGGCATTTCGTACGGTATGCGTGTGCACGGTGACACAGCAACCGAACCGGCTCTGAGACGTATTGGATAAATTCTTGGATGCTTTCTAGAATTACACCTGCTTGTGATCAGTCACGCCCGCCCGTTAGTAATTATCGATTAAAATGAGGACTCAGGCTTGTAATTTACACAACTGTCCAATCAATTTTAGGGTGAGATTGCTTTCCAATTGAAGTCGGTAATCAACACTCAGGGAAGGTTCAGTGTGCCCCATTTGCTTCATTAATTGCCCCATTTGCAATATTTATAAAATGCAAACGCTGATTGGTCAGTTTAGGGATCGAGGCTACTAATTATGGAAGGTAAATATGGAGCATTTGAATTCCGCCCACGTGTCCGGACGGTCGACTTGTAGCTGCCGTTGCATCAGAATTACAGACGCATTTCACAGTCTCAATTGAAATAAATCTTCCATTGTCGGTATTTCGACTAATTTGCGCCAAGATTAATTCTCATTGGTTCTTCGTGGGGCCATGAAGTTGCTTAATAAATGCTTGATTGGTGAGTTAATAAGTTAGGTGGTAGTCAGGGCCTAACGGAAACCCATGCGATACTACTGAGAGGTAGATGTGAGTAGTATATGCAGAGAATTACCATTCATGTGTTATTTGACCTAATTCTTACTGGGCCACGCGACACGAATTTTGAATGAATCAAGTGGGTGGTATGGTGACGACAGGGTTGCTATGGCAACTTGGACTGAAGTTTGAGCAAGTGTCATTGTAGTGGAGATGTTATTTCTGCCAGCGGTACCGTATTAAAAATGCCTCGTAGTCGAGTTTGCAGTCTAGAGTTAACTATTATTAGTTCACTGCGGCTACAGACGGCATTTTTGAGGCTTCGTGTCCCGCCCTAATTGACCAATCAACTTCACAGCCAATGTACGTCACCGCAGCTTAGTACGGATTGATCATTGGATGAGTTGAGGGTGTGGCGTGTTCCCACCGTTAAAAATTATGGAAGATGAATACACTGTTTGCACGCTTCATGGCAGTATACGAAGCCAGCACATACTTAAACCCATTTAAGTAGTTGGAAACTGTCGATATAATGGGTGATGAGGCGTATGCCCTTCAATTCCCCAAGTTTTCACTTCGGGGCTCTTTTAAGCTTTAATTTGAAAGACTCACACAAAAACAATTGTAAATCACCCTCCTATTTAATTTGTTCGCCTAAAATGACTTCTGCGCGGTCGATTGGACCAATCAAAATTGAGAAAAAGAGATCAACATTTTCCCCTATCCAGTTACTCAAGCTGATTCCCCAGCACGTACCCCTAAAAATAACCAATGACCGCAAGGGTCCCCATTATCGATCGCGTTCGTGCTAGGGAGCAGATTAACGTATTTTGTGTTTTGGAGCTAGTCATTTTCCTAATAATAAGAATGATACTGGCTTAGGATCTAAACAATCGTCCACTCCTAACTGTTTTTTGATCACAGATTTTCCGAACTTGCGACCAGGTGACGCTGGGCATTTAGCCTTCCTAGTCTTATCTCATAAAATTACTACCTTCACAGTTTTAACGGGGAAAAAAATTTCCCGGTTAATTTTGACCAGTAATACTTAATTAATAATGACATATTTGGAATAGCCATGGTGATTTTTCACTTGTTTATTTGTCCCCCTTTTAAGACCACTTAAAAGTGCACGCGAGTTTCAGTGTACGCGCTCAAAACAACGCATACTCGTGGTGACGAGATTAACTCCTTTATCGCAATTGGTTTACGCCAAATGGCTCAGCCAATGACAGAGCCGCGTCGCCGTAGACCTTGCGCACTGCGTTGTTATTGGCCCGCGCGGTCATTGTTCCAGGGGCCGGCGGTTGCGGTGTTTGCGTGGCCATTTGGTTGCCAAATTTAGTACCTGAAAGTCGTCCTTTTTCGTTCTTTTGACAAGTGAAAGAATTTTGGTTGCAAAAAACCTGTGCTGAAAGCAATTGTTTATCGTACTATTAACCGCAATAACAGACGATGAAATAGAATGTCTCTCTAATGAAAAATAAGCCAACTTCATTCATACCAGAAAAATGATAAAATTTTAAAATAAACGCCGTCATTTGAACTTTGTGGAGTGATTAAGTGACATTAGTAACAAAATGCCAATTACCAATCAATCGATACTGGCGTCTTGAATTGGATTGTACGTTTTAGCGAATTCATCTAGCCCGCTCATCTGAAATCATTTAGGATCACATTTGAACACACTTTCAACGACCACGACAATCTTAAAGCTGTGATCAGTCCGATTGGCCAATCCATAAAGCGCGGAGTAAATTGATTGGATGAGGTCAACCTGTTCGAGTCGAATCGCGTTAGCAGCATGGCTGATTCTAGTTAAACGAGTATTTAAGGTAGGAATATGTGTGAGTGTTTGATCCGTTCAAATAATGGAGATCGGTGATATCAGCAAAAAATCTCTCCGTTTGGATTCCTGGATCGGAAGACAGATCCCTACACCATCTCCCCATTTATGACACAATGCGATCAATACAGTATCGGTAGAACGACACACAGGGATTGATTTTCCAATTCCAGGTTATTTGCCATCATCCCAGTGGAGTGTGAAGGATTGAGAATGGAGGTTACCCAAACCCCCCGTCTCCACATTTCAAACACTTGGTTACATCGCTGACGTCCAATAAGATTGGTCTAAAAGAGGCGGCTTTATCGTTGTCCAAGTCATCGTTCTGCATTGGACAGCTGACGTGAATTTTGAATCCATCAGCTGCTCGACCTTGACAACAAGTAAAATAGCCCACTTAAAGAACAGATTTGGCCAATAGGATGAGTACGCGGTCGATATAAAGTGTTCTATGCGAGTTTTTTTTGAAGGGTCTATCTTTGGTGGCTTGATGTGAATGAGTGCTTGGCAGAAATGTGGGTGTCGGAGGAAAGGTAGGTCTAGCGTAGGAATTTGTAACCAGTGGACGCAATTGATGGCCCGTAATCGATTGATCGGGTCAGCAGGGGTGCAGCCTGTATCCGCTTTTACGGCGGATTGAATTCCAGCAAGGGTAAGGGCTTAAGCACCCTTTCAATCGAGATCATTTAAAGCAGCGTTCTTCACTGCTGCTTGTTCCACGAAACTGGTTAAGATTTGGGAAAACCTGTGGTATTTATGGCGAAACTGCGAGGCATGGTGATCCATCGCTCACCGCGGCTTCAACCCAGATGTAGAAACCCTTCAAATGACGACCAGATCGCGGAAGACCACAGCTGTCTGGAGTCGTCTTTATCTGTGTAGTACACTGGGTCGTTATTTTGTAACATTATACCAACTTAGTACTTAGATCATCCGCAGTTAGATGCCACGAATTTCGATTCTTGGGCTTGAGCGAGGTAAAAGATTCCAAAAAGATTGACTTGATTTCACAAAACATGAACGATTAATGAGTCATTTTCAAGTAGAAAGAGCATGCGGTGTGAGAGCGTTGTTGTCGTCATGGCGACAGTATCGATCGATGTGCTAAACTAAAGGCATGAATCCGCAAGTATTGTCTAGTCATTGGAACGTAGTCGCCATCCCAAGGAACGCCAGATCCGTTATCCTGGGAGTTTCTCACTAAAATATGCGTTTATTGTGAGCTTCCGGTGTACCAGGGTAGTATTTTGTAAAAAAAGCTTCAGCCAATCCCATGTACCCAAACTTTGTCCACGTGATCGATTAGATTATTGAGCAGTCTCACACCAATGATGGATCTTAGGGTAAGAAGTGTACAACGTGGAGTGAGTGATCTGTCTGATAGATCATTGACACCATAAACTAGGTCTTAGAAAAATCGATTTGATGCAAGTTTGTGCAAAATTATGTTGAATTTTTTACAAAAAAACAGGCAAACCTGCACGTTAAAATTTGGTCAATTTGAAACTGTGTGAGGTGTCAAAAATCATCGGTTTCGCAGCGTTTTTTAATGGACGAAACTAAATCACCTTAATTTTGTTGGTGGCAGCAATTAATTAACTTAATATATCCGATTATTGCAACAAAATAGTTTGTTTAAATGAACTGTAGATCCATTAATCACCATCATTCAATTTGCTCGCAGCCGTCATCCTCGTTACCCCCCTGTTGTTAGCATCTTCTGATCTGACATTTCGTTGG